CAGATTCTGTTTGATGTTATTATTATTATTATTATTATTATTATTATTATTATTATTATTATTTATTTTAATGTATGTATTTATTTATTTATTTATTTGCCAAATTCCACATTTTTCATTTTGATATTTCTGGATTTAATTTTAATGGTTTAATTAAATTGTAATAATTAAAGCATGTCTAATTAATTTAATCTTTTAATCAAATGAAAATTAAACAAGCCCTTTTTTGCGAAGAAAGTGTTGCACATCAGATGTTTACCGTTAAATTGTGTTTTTAATAATCATTTTGATTCAAAGGTTAAGTAATAATTGAATAATAATTAACAAATTATTAATAATATTTTATTAAATTTATTATTATTATTGGTGTTAGTAGTATTATTACGTTGAGACATACGTTATTTTGTACAATCGCAGTATGTTTCTGTCACAATTTCTTCACGTGAAACAGAACTTTTATTTTGGCGGGTTGTCATGAAGACCTTTGAGTTTCTGTGTGTATATCGTATGATTGTTTTATTTTATTTTGCTCATCAATTTTTAATCAGCAAACGAGTTCACATAAATGTGACTTGGAAAAATCTTTGAAAGATATTCAAGGCTTTTCCCCGAGCCCTAAAAATCATGTCAAGAAATGGTGTAGATATTAGAGCCCGACCGATATGGGTTTTTTGGGGCCGATACCTATACTGATATTAGGGAGTAAAAAAAAGGCAACATTTGCATGTTTACAATTCTGTGATAGCACATGTAGATAAATAAAGTGATTTTTTTTAGTAATTGTTTAATTTTGATATGTTTTTGAGGTGCAGATTTTATATAATAATAATTTTTATATGTAGGTTTTATATAATATAAAGTCAATATATTCAGTAATATAAAGAGTTTTTATTTTTAAATAATTTACTGTAATTTGTGTGGTTTATTTATTTATTTTTATTTTTTAACATGTTTTCTCACTTACCCCAGTTTGAGAATTAGCCCTGGTTTAGTGATTTCTTTAATTTAAATTTAAGTATTTAAATATATAATTAAAAAAGATTTTATTTATTTATTTTACATTTTAGACATTTTATATAAAATAAAATAATTTAAGTATTTAAATTTATATAATAAAAAAAAATATATTTAATCTTTTTTACATTTTAGAGGAAAAGATTTTGTAATTTGTAAATCTGTTTTAGATACTTTTTAAAATAAATCAAATTTAAGTATTTAAATTGATAATATCTTATTTTACTTTTTTATTTTAGGGGAAATGTGCCCCCCAGGATCGCTAGATCGGTCGGCGCCGGACCGCGAATTTAACCACCCCTGACTCCCGAACCCCGGGGGCTATCCACGCAGAGGTGGTCTCATTCGAAAGAGGGCCTCGAGACGTACACTCGATTCGCGTTCAAGAGGGTTCCTCGAGCTTAAGGGATCCCCAGGAATTGGTGCGGATTCGCCATGCCGTTACGGAGATATGGCCGTTCAAAGGTTCAGTGGCTTTCCATTGACTTAAGCTTTAAAGCGTTTCATCCAGGTCGCCAGTAGCAAACAATGGAGCACGCTCTGCTGGACAAACTAAGTAATTACACCATTTCAAGCATTTTATCTGCATTATATGTTCTGTAAAAAAAATTTTCATATCGGCGGCATATTCGCCGATACCGATATATCGGCGACAGGCTCATATCGGCCGATAATATCGGCAAAACGATATATCGGTCGGGCTCTAGTAGATATGGCTCGGAGAGGCTTTTCCGGTGAACTTTAGCTGTGGATTTTGCCTTGAGCAAGAAGTGGTGTTTTTATCCGGCTGTGAGAAGGGAAGTCTTTCATGGGTTTTACGCCCCGTGAAGTCGCCCTGAATGTCAGAGTAGGTCAGCTGTCAATCTGCGACAGACGGTCTGTGGGTGTCCTGTGTTTGCAGAGCGACACTGAAATCTCACTCGATCTGCTCTGAATAAGTCTTGAATCGTGTGAACCGTTCATCATGACTGTGCTGAAATGTTTCGACATCTTGTCAAACTCGTGACACGTTCACCATCAGTGCTGACGAGTGACGAGGCGCTGAGCTTTATTCGAGCTTCACTGTGTTTCTGAAAGCAGCTCAGTTGTTTTCCAGATACATGTGACCAAAGGCTTCGTCATGGTCTTTTTGGTCATATTATACACAAGCACAGCTTTACAGCTCAGTCAAAATCCTTTATCCCTGAAACATGTTTTATTAGATTTAACTTTGTGAGAAACATTTTTTTTTATGCAGTTAACACAGTTTACCAAATATAATTCTAAGAGTTTTTTTTTGTTGTAGATTTTTAAAGTCTGTTGTAATTTACCATAAATGTTTCTTGCCTTGAATATGGCCACTGAAGCTGGCATTTATATATATATATATATATATATATATATATTACA